CAAGATGTGGTTAGTATTATTTGATATTAGTGTTTCGTCAAGATGTGGTTAGTATTATTTTATAATAATGTTTAGTCAAGATGTGGTTAGTATTATTTGATATTAATGTTTAGTCAAGATGTGGTTAGTATTTTTGGATATTAATGTTTAGTCAAGATGTGGTTAGTATTTTTTATATTAGTGTTTCGTCAAGATGTGGTCAGTATTTTTTTATATTAATGTTTCATCAAGATGTGGTTAGTATTCTTTGGTATAAATAAAAAAGTCCTTCGTTTGATCGTGATAAATAATTTCAAGATAAACTTGTGTGTTGTACTAAAGAAAGCTGAATACTCGTTTTCTTTACCCTTTAATAAACGTTACTTGCTACACTTAATTCAAAAGTATTGTTTTCTGCTACCTGTACATGGCCAGATGGCGCTCGACTCGCAATCTGAGGGTCGCGGATTCGAATCCCCGTCACACCAAACGTGCTCGCCCTTTCAGCCGTGGGGGTGTTATAATGTGACGGTCAATCCCACTATTCGTTGGTAAAAAGAGTAGCCAAGAGTTGGCGGTGAGTGCTGATGACTAGCTGCCTTCTCTCTAGTCTTACACTACTAAATTAGGGACGGCTAGCGCAGATAGCCCTAGTGTAGCTTTGCGCGAAAACCTGTGTAGCTGCTATTAGAACAGGACAGTAAAATCAGAGACCTAGTTTTCAAAATAAAGGCCACTTTTGGGGTTTTCTGCTTATGGATGCATTGGACTTTGGTGTCTCGCTTTTCCGGGGCACTTAGAAGGAGGAAAAATTTTGAATAATTTACATAAGAGAATATTTACTTCAGATTCCCTCCTTGTTAGCCCCCAGTAGCACATCGGTAAATCTCGAGGTTTAGAACGCTGAAAAACGGGTTTCGATACCCGTAGGAAGGATAACACAGACAAACCATTGTGTAGTTTTTATGGTTAATTGTATACAAACAAAAATCCATCTTGTTAAATTTTTTCTGATTTCTGTTTATTACATAGCTAAACTGACCTTTGACCTTTTTATCAATTCTATAAAGTGGAATTACACTTTACACCATTGTGTAGTTTTTATGGTTAATTGTATACAAACAACAATCCATCTTGTTACATTTTTTTCTGATTTCTGTTCATTAAATAGCCAAACTGACCTTTGACCTTTTTATCAATTCTATAAAGTGGAAATACAGCTTTCTACTGACGAGTTTAAATTATTTTATATAATTAATTAATTTGTTTGTTGAACTAAGAGCAAAGCCACTTGAGAGCTGTTTGCGCTAGCCATCCCAAATTCTGAAGTGATGGACCAGTGAGAAGGTAGCTAGTTAACACCACCCATCGCCAACTCTTGGGCTACTCTTTATCAACGAATAGTGTAATTGAATGCCACATTATAACGCCCCCAAGGCTGAAAGAAAGGGCGAGCATGTTCGGTGACGGGATTCGAACCCTCGACCCTCAGATTTCCACCACTCCATGCCAGGCTACAATCAATTAATAGATGCTATTAAGTACGATTTTCATTCCGTTTCTTATAAAGAATTCGTTTTGAAACCAGGTTTCAGTAGCTATAATTTTTTGAAACCAGGTTTCAGTAGCTATAATTTTTATATTTCTAAAATAAATTGACCGTGTTCAGTTAGCTGAAGAATGAGATTCAGATATTCAGAGGAAATGACTTCATGATACTCTCTTGTCTTCTCCAGTCTGGATGCAGATGTTCAGCTGAGGTTATGTCACAACCAGAGGAAAGACAGACAGACAGTCAGCAGCACCCTACAACCTACCACCCACTCTTATAAGTCATGTCACTCTTATAACATATACACAGCTTAAAGTGTGGGGAATATTTTGTAGTATCGCACGGATTCGATCTCGACTCGCCAACTCCGAAATCCAGAGCTTCACCACAGACCACTCAGCGCTCCGCTCGTATTTTACTAGTTAATACATTATATTCTGATCAATTTTAATCATATTTAGTTTTCTGGAAAGACCTGGTTTGAAAATGACTTTAAATTAATCATTATAGTTTTATATGTTATCCTTATATTCTTTTAATAATGAATATAATTATCACTTTTAGATTATAGTTCAAGTATTTTAGTTACAATAAGAATGGATATTGTATTGTTGTTCTGAACAATGTGTGAATATGTTAATGAATTGTAGACTCTTGTTCAAGCATTCTACTTATAGTAATTCTTGGTTTTAACTTCCAGTTGTGCTCCAGCATTACGAGGTTCAGGTTTACGATGAGTTTGTCACAAAAGGGAACACCGCTATCCTCAGATGCTACATTCCAAGTTACGTCAGAGACTACGTCACGGTGACGACATGGGAAAGAGATGATGGCGTTACTATTGTTTCCAACGTGGCAAACGGTGAGAATGAAAAGTTGTGTTAACCTCTCTATGAAATGATTATTATAGCCTCATAAATGATTTGATTAAAAAACAGAAATAAATCGCTTTTACTCATAAATATTTTTTTCAATATCATATCCTATCTCTGTTGCTATGGAAACTAAGCAATCTATGTTGCTATGGAAACTAAACAATCTCTGTTGCGATGGAAACTAAACAATCTCTGTTACGATGGAAACTAAACAATCTCTGTTGCGATGGAAACTAAACAATCTCTGTTGCTATGGAAACTAAACAACACTACTGGTTTTATTTGCACGTTTGGAAATACCAATGTAACATTTTAGGAAGCATTTTAGATATCTTATAATACTCGTTTATCTGTCTACCTGTCACTCTTTACTGTCTATCTGTCTGTAGTACTCGTTACAAAATCCTTCCACCTAACTGGACTATTAAATGACGTCAGAAAGCTAATGTACAAAACTCAGTAACAGTGTTGTCTTAGTGAGCACTTACCACGAAGTGTAATTGGAAATTTATTCATTTACGGAGACTAAAACATTTAAAAGCCCACACTGTATCGTACAGCACCGACTATTTAGTTAAAAGCGACTTTGTAAACAGGATTAAAATGTAAGTTACAGATGAGGATTTCACTAACAGTTTATGTAGCATTACTACTTAGTTTGAGTTTTATCTCTTTAGTTAACTGCAGAACTGGATTAAATTGTAGATTTGACTAGACTTCGTCAGAGAACACAAACTCCGTGGAAACAGTCCTGCTTAGTTATAGAAAACGTTACAAGTTTGTTTAAATCAGTTTCACGAATAACGTCGTAGAGAGAAGATGTTTCTGTCGTGTTCCCTTGGGAAACACAAGGACGTTCCATGAGACAGACAGTCAGATATATAGACCGAAACATACAGACAAATAAACAGAAAGACATACATAAAACACGACAGATAAATAAACAGATTTATAGACAGAAACGGATACATAAACGAACAGAAAGGTAGATGATAGATACATACATCACAGAAACAGACATAAAGATAAACAGATAGATAGACAGAGATGTATTTACATGATCATTCTCTTCTGATTATCTCACTGAGTCAACTATTACGGATTTAATTAACCCCGAGGCTCTAAATTACGTAATTACATTTCTCAAACTAAATCCCAACATTGTCAATTCCTTGGTGTTTAGAAACGTATTAAGCCGCGTTCTTCGAGATGGAATAAATGTGACATAGCTTTGGCTAATAAAATAAATGCTCTAAATATTAAATGTCAATGAAATTCATGGCCTTTTCATATAATCTGTACTCTACGGACTACAAAAATAGATTTGTCCGAAAAACCTTTCAACTTACTTCTGTAAACGTTAACAGTACAGACTTTTTACTGAATACCATACAAAGTTTTACAGGAACCACAGACACTTAACAGGGTGGCGAAGGATGGACTTTAGTCTCCCATGAAACCTGAGAGCACGTGTCCCAAAGTACTAAAAATGCCAGCTCTCCCTCCCTCCTCTCCCCACACGTTTCCAAGCTACAATACTGACAGAATCATCCAAAGAAATAGTTATTTGAACTTGAAGGATGACAAATGTCAATAAAATAATAAAGTTTTACTTACAATTATTAGCGGCTGTTTTGCTTAAGTATGGGAACTATAACAAAAATGTCTCATTGTGAAAACAATTACAGCCTCGATCTTCTTATAGTGAAGGAGCTCTGGTTGCAGAAGTTGATGTGACGTAAACAAAACAGTCTGTCCGTGATCGTTCTTCACCGTTTCGTTGAATTCACTCCAAGCCTGGAGATCGTAAAACTGTTGGAAACCTAATTCCAGCACTAAATTTATTCGTTAAAACGTATATTAGGGAGGCGAACGTAAAGAATGTGTGATAAACATAGCAAACACTGTATGAAAAACTGTAACAGCTGTAAAATTTGATAGAAAGAAAAATGACCGATATTATCCGTTCTTTGTAAATAAAAAAACTAAGGAATGTTCAGACTTCTACTTTAATATAAATATTACTTGTTTGGTGTTTTAAGAATATGTTTCAAGGTGGCAAGCTGCTACCTGTGCACAATATTTTAGTTTGGGGATATTTTTGGGGATATGCCTCACTTTTCAAATATATCGATGCCTTTAAGAAGAGATATATCTTGTATCCATGACAACGCCATGTCTTTAAAAATAAAAATATATTGTATCCATGACAACGAAATGCTTTCAAAAACATAAATATCTCGTATTCATGACAACGCAATGCTTTCAAAAAACAGAAATATCTCGTATTCATGACAACGCAATGCTTTCAAAAACAGAAATATCACGTATTCATGACAACGCAATGCTTTCAAAAACAGAGATATCACGTATTCATGACAACGCAATGCTTTCAAAAACAGAAATATCACGTATTCATGACAACGCAATGCTTTCAAAAACAGAAATATCTCGTATTCATGACAACGCGATGCTAACGAATTTTTTTTTACCAGATAACTGAAATTCCAGGACGTAGAATCTAGAACATAATATCACAAGTTAAGTCATCAGGAAGACGAGATTACTTGTTTATTTTTTTTATCTTTCACCCAACACAGGAGGTCGGTACAGTGTTCTTCCACACGGTGAGCTTCACATTCGCGACACCACAAACGAAGATGCCTTCAAGAGATATTACTGTCGCACCACTCACACCCTTAGTGGGCAGTCACAGCTAAGCAAAAGTTCTGGAAGATTAGTAATTACAGGTAAGTAAACTGTTGGTTTATCAACAAAAGATTTATATAGTTGCCAAAGCTGCAAGATTATACGATAAATAACAGTAATGTATATATATATATCAAGTATTTGTACTAAACTTATTTCGTAAAAATCCTGTAGAAATCTTGTTATCTAAGAAGTTTGTGATTCTTTGAAATAAATAAGACGTAAACTAAAGATTAAAAAAAAGACACGTTAAGTAAATACACACTTTTTGATGGGTTAATGAGCGCGTGCTTGTCCATTGCATGAGATCGTTCAGAAACACACCACCAGAGTAATATAAAAGTCGTTAAGTTATGATTGGTAGGTAAGAGTTTATCTGGTTGTTTGTAATTAAACGCAAAACTGCACGGTGGGCTATCCGTGCTATGCCCAGATCGTAACCTGGTTTTAAAGCTGAACAGGTGGATAGAGAATACTACTATAAAAATCCAAACCCCAGTATGTTTGTTTTTGATACAAACGCAAAGATGCCCAATTAGCTCACTGACGGGATCGAGCCTCGAATTTCAGGGTTGAAAGTCTTCGAGCTTACTACGTAACCACCAGAGGGCAACCTTGGTATGTGAAACGTGTTTACTGAAAGAGAAAAGTTACACAGAAGGTATACGTGTAAGTTACTGACTCGTGGACAGATTTTCACACAAAACTTAGCACGAGAAGTGAAGATCATATGACTTCATAAGTTTGGTTTCGGAAACAGCTATTGTGACATAGCAAACCATGATGATTGCTTAAAAACTCGTGATGTTGGCTTACAAACCCCTAATGATGGTTTGAAAGCCGCTGATGATGATTAAAAAAAACCCTGATGATGAGTTACACTTTAGTAAACTGAAACATGTAGGGCCAATTCCTATTCGTTTTGACCCGGCATGGGCAGGTGGTTAAGGAGCGCTTGACTCGCAATCTGAGGGTCGCGAGTTCGAATCCCCGTCTCACCAAACATGCTCGCCCTTTCAACCGTGGGGGCGCTATAATGTGACGGTCAATCCCGCTATTCGTTGCTAAAAGAGTAGCCCAAGAGTTGGCGGTGGGTGGTGATTGACTAGCTGCCTTCCCCTAGTCAAAACAAACAATCAAAACCTATTCGTTTTTAACTTTTTATAAACTTATGCGCACTTTTGAAACACTGTAGTGTTGCTTAGGTTTGATTATTTACATGAGAAATCATTTTTTTTTTTAATTTTAGCAGAGTTACACTAGAGCTATCCGTCCCTAATTTAGCAGTGATAGACTAGGGGGAAGGCAGCTAGTTAACAACACCTACTGCCCACTCTTGGGCTACGCTTTTATCAAAGACAAGTGGGATTGACCGTCACGTTATAACGCCCCCCACGGCTGAAAGGATGAGCATGTTCTGTGACGGGATTCGAACCCACGACCTGCAGATTGCAAGTCGAGTGTCCTAGCCATCAAGCCTTGTCAGGCCCATGAATTCAGTAAAAGTTTAGGTTTAATACAGTTATTATGATATAGAAATTGTTGCTCGGCACATATCATCATCATTCCTATCAAGTTTAGAATCAGAAATAGACAAAAAAAGAAAATGTTTTAAGTCCTTCATAGAAAATCACCAGATAATGTACGTCTCCTCAAATTAAGTAAGACAATCTTTAATCCCGGGTGTCTAGAGAGTCAGTGTCGAGAAATTTTAATTAACTTTCTCCAATTAACATCAGTCTGGTCCTTTTCTGAATTAGTCTAATCCGACTTAAGCAGACGTTATCTTGAAATTAAACCCCACGTTATGAAAAGGCTTTATTCTGGGAAGTTTATAAAATTCATGAAAGCCTATTCACGTGCTCAGAAATACAAGTAGGGACACACAGATCATGTCAATTCATATTCACCGACACGATTTTTGTGTTCTTTATTAATCTAAACTGCTTCTTTTTCTTTTTTTTCATAAAAGAGGAATTTTCTAAGCTAAGTAGTTGAAAACTGTCAGAAGAGAAAATGCATTAATTTATATTTTTCCTTTTTGTTGTATTGTATGCACTTAGAGACAGAGACCAATCAGGTCCCTCGACTTTTAGAAACTAGAACAATATATCGCATCCAACAGGGGGCGCCAGTGGAGCTAACATGCGCTGCTCAGGCCTACCCCATGCCAACATACAGGTAAGTAGATAAAGATTTTTCATATGGATTTTTTTTTATTTATGCAAAGGATTGGGGAATAAAACTTTAGGTTTATAAACCATTAAAATACAACGTTTAGCATCTTGAAGTTCGAAACTTTCAGTTGAACACATGCGTTATATTCAAGAGATATATATTTTTTATTAGTTCTACCATTTCTATACGTCTGCCCAAAGTTAGCTTTTTCGCTTTGTAACAGAAACTCTATTGACGCCGTTTTAAACACAGTTTGTTAATGTAAAATAAAGAGAAATATTTTATCCTTACTTTTCCAGAAACTCTCGCCCCCCCCCCCAGTGGCACAGCGGCATGTCTGTGGACTTACAATGCTAGAATCCG